GTCTATCCTCCCGAATATCGCCTCGGATTCACTTCTCCGCACGTCCTACCTTCCAGAAAGTGGTCGCTTTTCTGTTCAGAGAGTTGCTGCTATTCTTTTCTTTGATCTCTGGTTGAGTTCATAGGTGTACAGAATGGTTTGATCCCTATCTAGCTGAATTCCTGGGACCAGACAAAATTTAGGTCCCTACTCCTCCACCATCTTGCTCCTCCTCCATTAAGACATTTTTACAAAAAGCAAATGTGAGAAGTTACTGCACACAGTAACCTGCAAATAAAAACTTCCCTAATCACTACAGCTGCCCCCAGATCCACAACTAAATATTTAGTTGTCTGGTACTGACAGTATTAGGCAGTTTGGCTGTGTCCAGAGGGCTGAAACATCACACTATATAAATATAGTAAAAGATCAGAATTAGCCCCATTTGATAGCAGCTGCATGTAGAAATATTTTAAATAAGTTAACTTTATTGAGCTATATTTTACAAATGATAAAAGGTTACAAATTTTGTGTTTGGATTTTGATGACTTTTGAGAAACATACGTCCTGTATAACCACCCACCCCAATCATGATTTGACACCTATCCAACACCACAGAATCTTCCTTTGTCCTCCGTTGGGGGCAGTTCTCCTTCCCACCTTCTCCCAGACAAACATGGATCTGATTTCTGTGCCTGTTCTCAAACTTCATATAAATGGAACAATAGAGTGTGCATTCTTTTGTGTCTGCCTTCTTTCTTTATATGATGTCTGTTTGATTGATGCCATGTTTGTGCATGCATAAACAATCTATCCCTTTTTGTTGGTGACTACTATTCATCTTATGCACATACTACGGTTGCTTGTGAATAGAATTCATCTGTTGTTGGGCATTTAGGTTATTTAGGTTATTTTCAGCTTTTGGCATTTTGAATGAAATTGCAAGGAACATATGTTTACACAGCTTTGTATTTTCATCTTTTGGGTGGAATTGCCAGGAGTCACAATTTAGGAATATCTTAAATCTATAATAAAGTAGCAAAACATTTTCTAAAGTGATTGTACAATTTTCCAGCCCCACTGACATTGTATGAATGTCCTGGGAGCTCCACAGCCTCACCAGTAATTGATGTTGTCAGTCATTTAATTTAAGTTGTACAAGTGGGTGTGTAGTATATCTCATTTTGGTCTCTTTGATGAATAGAAGTTGAGAATTTTTTTATTTACTTATTGACCATTCATGAACCTTTTTTTCCCATAGAGCATATCAAATCTTTTGCCCATTATTTGTTGAGTTGTCAAGTCTTTTGTCAGATAAATGTATTACATTTGAATTAATGATGATTTTGAAGAACAGAAGTTTTTTATTATGATGAAAATTGAATTTATCAATTTATTCTTTTATGGGTAGTGCTGCTTGTGTGTTAAGAAATCCTTGAGTATCCCAGTATCATGAAGATTTTATTTTCAGTTTTATTTTTGAGTTTGATTGTTTTAGCTTTTTGTTTAGGTCTATGGTCCATTTCAAATTATTTTGTATGTGGGAGGTGAGGTAGAAATCACCTGGTTTGGATTTTTTCACATGTGGATATCCACTTGATCCAGTATCATTTGCTGAAAATACTTCTCTTTCCACATTGAGTGGTCTTGTCATATCTGTTGAAAAGCAATTGACAATATATGTGTGGGTGAACTGATATAATCTTTTCTGTTCCAATAATGTATTTCCCTATCCTTAAGCCAAAACAACACTGTCTTCCTAACTGTGGCTTTATAGTAATTGTAGAAATCAGATAGAGTGGGTCTTCTAAATTCGTTCATTTTTTTTCAGAATTGCGGTCATTCCATCTGATAATACTTACCTTTCATTTGAAATACTTTCTGTAGTATTTCTTGCAATGTACATCTGTAGGTGAATATTTTCTCAGTTTTTGTTTATCTGAAAATTAATTTTACTCTTTTTGAAGGATTTTTTTGTAAGATATAAAATCTCAGATTGACAGTTTTTTTCCCTCACTGCTTTAAAGATGTAATTTCCTTGTCTTCTTGCCTGTTCTGTTTCTGATGAGTAGTTGGCTACATTCCTGTCATGTTCACTGTATGTAATATGTTGTACTTCTTTGCTTTCAAAATTTTTCTTTTGTCTTTCATTTTTTAGTGGTTGTATTTATTTAGATTTATTTATTTATTTAAGAAAGAGACTGAGAGAGAGGAGGGGTGGGGGGGGAGGGAGAGAGAGAATCCACAAGCAGACTCCTTTTTGAACGTGGAGCCCGACATGGAGCTTGATTCCAGGATCCCGAGATCATGACCTGAGCCAAAAACAAAAGAGTCAGTCATTTAACCAACTGAGTCACTCAGGCACCCCAATTTCCTTTGTATTTATTATGCTTGGTTTTGCTGTTTATCTTAAGCTTGTAAGTTTTTTTTTTTTTTTACCAAAATAGGGAGATTTTGTTGATGTTATTTCTTCAACTTTTATCTGCTTTGACCATTATTCCTGCTCCACTGTCTCCCCTCTCCTTCTGGACTCTAAATGCATGTCTGTTAGGCCAATCGATCCTATCTTACAAGTACCTGAGGCTCTGTTTGTTTTCAAAATTTTTTATTGTATGTGCTTTAGATTAATAATTTCTGTGAACCTGTTTTCATGTTCACTTACCCATTTTTCTGCCATGTCTAATCTGTTATTAAGCCAATTCAGAAACTTTGTATTTCAGATATTTTGCTTTTCAGTTCTAGAATTTCTATTTGTTTACATTTTACAGTTTCCTTTTCCCTGCTGAGATTTCCTATCTGTTCCATCATCAAGACCACTTTTCCTTTAAGTCCTTAAACATTTCAATAGCTACTTAAAAAGGTCTTGTCTACTAATTACAACATCTGGGCCATCACAGGGTCTCTTTTTAAAAATAGTGAGTAAGGTTCACATTCACCTGCTTATTATTTGCATGTCAAATGCATTTTTATTTTATGTTGGACATTATGAGTGATGCATTGTTCGGATTTGGGAGTACCTGTCTTCCTTTAAAAAGGGTAGAGTTTGTTCTGTCAGGCAGTTAATACTGATGGCTGTTCTTATGCTTGTTGAGGTTTGATTTTAGTCTTTTTTAGGGCCAGAATACTCTAGGACATGGTTCTTATTCCAGAAGTATGGCCTTTTTGGTGTCTCAGTCAAATTCTCAAGGTATTTTTAAGATCTCTGCACTCTGATCTCTCTACTTTCCCAGGTGAGTGTGACCTCTACTATCTTCATTTTACTTGCAGCATCTGTATCAGATGCTCTTTGTTCACTTCACCATGTCTCACCTTGTGTATGTACAGTCCAGCCCTTGACCAAGGTCTTGCAAAAACAAAAAACAAAAAACAGATTTCTGGGGTCCCTTTCCATGTAGCTCTGTTCTCTCTAGTGTTTGTCCTCCAATTTTCAGCTGTGTCACCAGTGCTGAACTGCAATATGTGACTCCTCAGCACAGCAAGACTGCTTTGTTTATGTTTCTCCTCCCTGTACTGCTCTCAGGAAATTGTCCACAGGCTGACAGGGCTCATCTAGGTGTGCATAGGGATTCCATATCTGTGGTGCCTGTTGACCAGTGTCTAAAAACAATCACTTCCTATGTTTTGTCCAGCTTTATAGCTACTTTGGGGAAGGCCACTCTCTCTCGGCCAGAAGTCTACATCCAGTAGAAATATGCTTTAATATGCTTTTGAAAGTTATTCCTAAGATTATTGGTTCTCAAACTTATGCTTATCTTAGATGCATCTGGAGGACTGATTTACACACAGATTGTTAGGCCCTGTATTTTAGAGTGTCTGATTCAGTGGGTTGAGTTGGGGCCCAACAATCTGCATTTCAGATGTGTGTCCAGGTGATGCTGATGCTGATGGTCTGAGAACCAAACTTGGAGAACCACTTGTTTAGAAAGATGGATCTTGAGAAGACGTGTTGGACTCTATTTGGGATTTACTACACACAATTTTACCTTTTTTTTTTCTTTTGGTCCTATGTCCTGCATAATAGACTTATGTTTCAGTTGGTTTATTATAATGCATGCAGTCTTGCTCTTTTTATTCAAATTATGAGTTTCAAAAAATTGTGGCTTTTATTTTTGCGTTGTAAAAGGTATTCTCCATTTGATTAATAGGAACAGAAAATATGTAAGAGAGTAAGGTCATAAAATATTATCATTCTTATTTTTTTTTGCCTGTACAAATAATTTGATTCTTTCATCCTGATATGAGACTTTTGGAACATAGAGTTTGATAAGTTTCAGCAAGAAGTATGTGATTTTTGTTTCAGAAATCGAGTTTTATTTTAATTATTCTTGGACCTGTATGTATATATGTGAGTTATGTGTATGTGTGTTTTGTTGGTAAGATGCAAAACAGTGGATTGCTGGATTGCTGGATTGCTGGATTGCTGGACCTGAGCCATATCTCTTCCTTGGGTTTCCTGAAAGCTTACACCATCCTTTACAGCTCTCAGGATAGCTGTTAATCTGTCTACCTCAGCATATTTTGTCCACTCCTTTGCCTCCATTGTTCTAGTGGCTCCATCTCTCCTTGTTTGTCAGGATTTTGAAATTTATTGCTTTCTTTCACTATCTCTAAAATCCGTGCATTTCCCAATGATATAAGGCTTGTACTGAGGTCAAACTGGTGACTCTTGTTGATGATACTGACATGATTTTTGCAATGGCAACCAGGAGAGGAAGTGCCCTCCCACCAGCATTACTGTATTTATTACTTAGTTGGGAAAATTGATTGATATTATCCCTTCAAATTCTAATCAATCTCTGACAGATTTTTTTTTTTTTTATTTACCAACTTTCATTCCTCGGAAAAATTGGTACAACAGCTTTTGGTGGTTAGATTAGAAGGCTCTTTGATGGCACATTTTAAATATTGTTTCAGTTGTAATGTATGATTATAATTTCAGTCTCAATTTCAGAGGTCTGTTTTCTAGTATTTTGATATAGGCATAGTGAAATACTAATTACTAAATACTAATTACTCAACAGGTTCATTTCGATGGCTGGGACCACAAATATGACTACTGGATGGATGCAGACAGTCCTGACATTCACCCAATTGGATGGTGTGATATAACAGGGCATCCACTGGAAATCCCATATCGTGAGTATTTTGCTCTTTGTTGTTGATTTTTAAATACTCAGCCTGAATTCTTACCTGAATGCAGTTTTTTTTTCATGTCATTGTAAGTATTTTAAAGCTAAATATCAGATAGGTGAATTGACTAATCAGTGCTATAGCTAAACTGAAATCTAATTATTCAGTTAAGCTTCAAAGGGTATGCTTTATGTAAAAGAAAAGTTATAATAATCATTAAAAAATTATTTTGATAGTGTTGTCTAGAAAAATCTTTATTTTCTACATTTCAGTTTGGAAAACTTAGCCTGGTCTAAATCCATCTAATTTGTGCCATTGATTTTCACTGAAGTGCATTTTGTTTTTTTTTAAAGATTCCATCTTAATTTTGTTTTATAGATTTCAAAAAGTTTTAGAAGACACAAATATTTTTAAATTTCAGCAGTTAAAAAAACTTTAGTTGAGAAAAAGTCTTCTGTTCTGTTGGTATCTTCGTTTTTTTCTTCTTTTCTAGCTGCTTAAAGTTAAGGAGGAAATTAACCACTCTAAATTTTAATGAGCCTTGAACCAAAATATCTTATTCTTTTGTCTGAAGGATTTCTTCGATCAGATTAGGCTGACATGACTAATAGCCTGTTCCAGACACATGTGCAGGCACTGCATTCTTTTGTGTGCTTTGTTCCTCACTGCCTCTGTGGCTCTCCTGTTGGCTTCTTGGCATGAAGCTGGCACATTATGCTGTTAATGAGGTTGTCTTCCACTGAGCCAGCCCGATGATGCTTGAAGCTCAGCTCTAAAAGGACAAACTGCATCTCTGAAGTAATACCTTGACTTCTTATAGAAGTGAGAAGAGGTCCTGACTTAATAACCCAACAGACGTTTCTACCTTCTGTTAGGTGCTTCAAAAACGACAAAAATCAGTAAGGTACAGGTCCTTATATAACGCAGAGTGCGTTAGCAAGCATGGCGTCTGTATATACAGAATGTAAAACCAGAAACCATGGTCAGCCCTGTATTGGAGGGATGGTGTTAGTCTTTGTGCTTTTTTTCCTGATTCCACTTTTTACTCTGCCTGATTTTACAGTCCAATTTGTCAGAGAGATGTTTCTCATTTTATGTTAACCATCCCTCGTCCCCCATTGACATGCACACATCCAGCCTCATCACAGTAACATTCTCAAGTAGGAATGGTCACAGTGGAGGTGGGGACGGTCAGCATTTCAGGGACAGGGACAGCTCTCTTCATTCCATCTCACCCATTGCCTGCTCTTTTGTGAAGCTGCCTATCCGGCTTCTTGAACTGAATGTCTCACAAACATTCCAAAGTCTGTGGATCAAGCTGAACTTCATCCCAAGCCAAAACACTTGTCTTTCTGCTGTGGTTCCTACTTGCTTTCAAACTTCCTACTTCCTAAGCAGAGCCATTCTGGACTTTGCTCCTTTTTATCCCTTCCTCACCCGACACATATAATCAGTGACCAAGTCTTAATGATTCTCTTACTTAATTGCTCCAAAATCTATCTCTGACCCCTGCCTGCTCCCTCCCAGTGCCATTGCATTTGATTTCTCATCATGGTTATGCAGTCTGCTAGTTAGTGAGTAGCACAGATCCTCCTGATAAGCCTAAGATAGATCTCAAAATTCAAGCTCTAGAGGCAATATAGCCTGCTTGTTAAAAGTGTGGAATCTGAAGTCAGAATGCTTGCATTTGAATCTCAGTTTTACTACTTACTTAGCAGTGTGACTGCCTGTACCCATTTCCTCATGTAGAAAATGGAGATAATATTAGTGTGTCTATCTCAAAAATTTGTAATGATTAAATGATATAAATGTACACATAATATTTCAAAAACTGCCCATCCAATAGTATATACTGATTTAGTGTTGGTTATCAGGAAATGATATAATACTCTATAGACTTTCATTTTTATATGAAATTATGTGAATTATTAAGGATTAAAAAACTTGAAATTATGCTAAAATTAGTGTGACTAGAGTTTTCCAAATATTTTAATTTTTTCTTCCATCCTTCCTTCCTTTCTATTCATTTATTTATATTTATTTATCATTGAGTTATAGTTCACGTACAATATTATATTAGTTTCAGGAGTACAACGTAGTGATTTGACATTTATATACACTACGGAATGATCATGTTAAGCCTAGTTACCGTCTGTCACTATACGAAGTTATTACGAAATTATTGATTATATACTCTGTGCTGTACGTTGCATCCCTGTGACATGTTTTATAACTGGGAATTTGTACCTCTTAATCTCCTTTACTTATTTCACCTATTCTCCCAATTCCTTCTCCCTTAGGAACCACCAGTTTGTTCTGTATATTTATGAGTCTATTTCTGTTTTTTTTGTTTTGTTTGTTTCTTTGTTTAGATTCCACATTTAAATTATTTATGGTATTTGTCTTTCTCTGTCTGAGTTATTTAACTCAGCATAATATGTTCCAGGTCCATCCATGTTGTTACAAATGGAAAGTTTTCATTCTTTTTATGGCTGAGCAATATTCCACTGTGTGTGTGTGTATATATATATATATATATACCACATCATCTGTATCTGTTCATCTGATGATGGATACTTGGATTGCTTCTGTATCTTGGCTACTGTAAATAATGCTGCTAAAAACAAAGGGGTGCATATCATTTTTTGAATTAGTGTCTTTGTTTTTTTCAGATAAATATCCAGAAGTGGAAATGCTGGCTAGTATGGTAGTTCTATTTTTAATTTTTTGAGGAACCTCCATACTTTTTCCATAGGGGCTGCACTAAATTTACATTCCCGTCAACAGTGCATGAGGGTTCCTCTTTCTTCACATCCTTGCCAATACTTTGTTATCTCTTGTATTTTTGATACTAGCCATTCTGACTAGTGTGAGGTGACATCTCATTGTGGTTTGGATTTGCATTTCCCTGATAACTAGTGATGTTAAACATGTTCTCAAGTGTCTGTTGGCTACCTGTACATTATCTATGGGAAAATGTCTATTGAGGTTCCTATTGAGGAACCCATTTTTACTTGGGTTCTTTGGGTTTTTGTGGTGTTGGTTACCTGAGTTCTTTATATATTTTGGATATTAACCCTTTACTGGATATACTATTTGCATATATCTCCTCCCATTCAGTAGGTTGTGGTTTTTTATTTATTATTATGTTATGTTAATCACCATACATTACATCATTAGTTTTTGATGTAGTGTTCCATGATTCATTGTTTGCGTCTAACACCCAGTGCTCCATACAATACATGCCCTCCTTAATACCTATCACTGGCCTAACCCATCCCCCCACCGCCTTCCCCTCTAGAACCCTCAGTTTGTTTCTCAGAGTCCACAGTCTCTCATGGTTCATCTCCCTCTCCGATTTCCCCCCCCTTCATTCTTCCCCTCCTGCTATCTTCTTATTTTTTTTAACATATTATGTATTATTTGTTTCAGAGGTGCAGGTCTGTGACTCAACAGTCTTACACAATTCACAGCGCTCACCATAGCACATACCCTCCCCAATGTTTATCACCCAGCCACCCCATCCCTCCCACCCCCCACCACTCCAGCAACCCTCAGTTTGTTTCCCGAGATTAAGAATTCCTCCTATCAGTGAGGTCATATGATACATGTCTTTCTCTGATTGGCTTATTTCGCTCAGCATAATACCTTCCAGTTCCATCCATGTTGTTGCAAGTGGAAAGATTTCGTTCCTTTTGATGGCTGCATAATATTCCATTGTATATATATACCACTCTTCTTTATCCATTCATCTGTCGATGGACATCTTGGCTCTTTCCACAGTTTGGCTTTTGTGGACATTGCTGCTATAAACATCGGGGTGCATGTAAACCTTTGGACCCCTACATTTGTAATTTTGCGCTAAATACCCAGTAGTGCAATTGGTGGAGCATGTGGTAGCTCTATTTTCAAATTTTTGAGGAAACTTCATACTGTTTTCCAGAGTGGCTGCACCAGCTTGCATTCCCACCAACAGTGTAGGAGGGTTCCCCTTTCTCTGCATTCTCACCAACATCTGTTGTTCCCTGACTTGTTAATTTTAGCCATTCTGATGGGTGTGAGGGGATATCTCGTTGAGGTTTTGATTTGGATTTCCCTGATGCCGAGCGATGTTGAGCACTTTTTCATGTGTCTGTTGGCCATTTGGATATCTTCTTTGGAAAACTGTCTGTTCATGTCTTCTGCCCATTTCTTGATTGGATTATTTGTTCTTTGGGTGTTGAGTTTCATAAGTTCTTTATAGATTTTGGATACTAGCCCTTTATCTGATATGTCATTTGCAAATATCTTCTCCCATTCTGTTGGTTGTCTTTTGCTTTTGTTGACCGTTTCCTTTGCTGTGCAAAAGTTTTTATCTTGATGAGGACTCAATAGTTCATTTTTGTCCTTGCTTCCCTTGCCTTTGGCGATGTTTCTAGGAAGAAGTTGCTGCGGCTGAGGTCGAAGAGGTTGCTGCCCGTGTTCTCCTTTAGGATTTTGATGGACTCCTGTCTCCATTGAGGTCTTTCAACCATTTGGAGCCTATTTTTGTGCGTGGTGTAAGGAAATGGTCCAGTTTCATTCTTCTGCATGTGGCTGTCCAATTTTCCCAACACCATTTGTTGAAGAGACTGTCTTTTTTCCATTGGACATTCTTTCCTGCTTTGTCAAAGATGAGTTGACCATAGAGTTGAGGGTCCATTTCTGGGCTCTCTATTCTTTCATTTATTATTTATTTATTTATTTATTTTTACTATTATTTTTATTATGTTATGTTAATCACCATACATTACATCATTAGTTTTTGATGTAGTGTTCCATGATTCATTATTTGCATATAACACCCAGTGCTCCATGCAGAACGTTGGGCTCTCTATTCTGTTGCATTGATCTATGTGTCTATTTTTGTGCCAGTACCATACTGTCTTGATGATGACAGCTTTGTAATAGAGCTTGAAATCTGGAATTGCGATGCCCCCAGGTTTGCTTTTCTTTTTCAACATTCCTCTGGCTATCTGGGGTCTTTT